ATTCAGGGGCTCTTTAATACCTGCCAGGAATCAACAGCAGAAATAGTATGTGGCACTGTATATGGACTTCTGGTTTAATAATTAATTCACATCACTCCAGTTATAATATATATTACAAAGACAGGATGGTATAATTTAGTGTAGAACGTCTTGATAGATATTATTCTATATAACACAGTATACACATATACAAAATTCACAATTATGTTCAGTTCACCAATGAAACACAAAAATAAATAATTTTTATGTAGCATACACAGGAACATAACCCCTATATACATCTGGGATTGTTCTGATGCTTATTACATCTTAATGATACAATTTATTCCTATATTTAGAAGCTCAATATCCACAGTTTACATAGATGCCCTTTATAATCAAGTATATCCTATGAAAATATATCACTCTAGCCCATCAGTATCCTTCCATCATTGGTTTTAACAGAACAAAGCTTTTCCTAATTCACCAGATTGGCAGGATCTCACCTCAGTATGGATCTCTGCACACAGGGGCATTGGATTTCTTGCTGAGGGCTTTTCCACATCCACAGGTTTCTGTCCCTAGATAGGTTGGGACTTCTTGATGTAACTTTTGCTCTCATTCATCCAGTTTCTCCCTCGTGTGAATTCTATGATGCCGGATGAGATTTGCCTTCTGGGAGAAGGTCTTCCTGCAGTCGGAGCATTCGTAGGGTTTCTTTCCCATATGAGTTCTCTTGTGTATGATAAGGCATGAGTTCTGGGAGAAGGCTTTCCCACATTCACTGCACCCATAGGGCTTCTCTCCTGTGTGAGTCCTCTGATGGAGAATGAGGTGTGACTTCTGAAAAAAGGCTTTCCCACATTCACTGCAGCCATAGGGCTTTTCTCCCGTGTGGATTCTGTAGTGTATAATGAGGCATGACTTCCGGGAGAAAGCCTTTCCACATTCTCTGCAGCTATAGGGCTTCTCTCCCGTATGTGATCGATGATGTTCCATGAGACGTGATTTGTGGGAGAAGGTTTTTGCACATTCCAAACACTTATAAGGCTTCTCTCCAGCACGGATCATCTCAGGTACAGAGAGGCCTGTCTTCTGGGAGACTGTTTTCCCACAACTGCTGTCTCCATTGGGTTTTTCTTTTGTGCGATTTCCCTGTTTGTTGAGGCAAACCTTTTCCCTGAAACCCTTCCCATGTTCGCCACACCCACAGGATTTCTGACCTCCATGGACTTTGTGATGTACAATGAGTTCTGACCTGCGGGAGAAGGTTTTCCTGCATTTAGTACATTCCCTGAAACCCTTCCCATGTTCGCCGCACCCACAGGATTTCTGACCTCCGTGGACTTTGTGATGTACAATGAGTTCTGACCTGCGGGAGAAGGTTTTCCTGCATTTAGTACATTCATGGGGTTTCTCACCACTTTCGGTTCCCTGATCTGCATTAAGGGCTTTGTCTTGGCTTAAAGCTTTTCTACACTGGTTACATTCACGTGGATCCCCTCCAGAATGTGGAGTTTCAGGCTTAGAATAGAGAAATAAGTTCCCATGTGCATCATACTTAAATCTCCTTCTTGCAAGGTATGCATTAGGAGTAAAGTCCACGTCATGTTTCAAAGTCTTTCCACATGAGTCACATGTACGGCCCTGTTGTCTTGACAGAACAAGGTTTGTGTTCTGATGGGATTGTTTTTCAGGTACATTACACTCACGGAGCCCTGTTTCAGTCCATTTTTTCTTGTCTAGAACTGCAACTTGCCCCAAAGCTTTGTCTTGGTGTTCCTGTTGTCTGTCTACTTGGGTATCAACGTGCCCAACTTCATCTAGAAAAAATACATAAATAACACAAACTTGTTAATCTTCCCAGTGTCATATCATAGAATTATTTCAGAAATGTTTGAAGGGAGGATTAATTCTGTGTTTTCAAGCCTAATCGCCCAGACTAACAAAATAATAATAATTCTACTACAAACACTTTCTGGTCTCTTGGCTTTTGAAAAGAAAAAAATACTGAAAATAGGGATAAAACATTGACAGTGAATGTAAGTAGCTTTGCCTTTAACATGGTTGACGTGAAAGACTGGCAAGAAGAAACAGACACAAGTAAGTGAGCAGGAAAGAAGAACTGGAAGGTGGTGGATTCCAGCCACTGATGTACTGAAGAAGCAGCTCACTGAAGGGCACAGCGGGGAGAGGCCCTGAACTTTTGACGTGAAAGACTGGCAAGAAGAAACAGACACAAGTAAGTGAGCAGGAAAGAAGAACTGGAAGGTGGTGGATTACAGCCACTGATGTACTGAAGAAGCAGCTCACTGAAGGGCACAGCGGGGAGAGGCCCTGAACTGCAGCATTTACCGTTTCCTCAGTGGAAACACTCCCCTGCTGTGGCCAGTTGCAAGCTACCCTGATGACATCACTGAATGCAGAACTGGGAAGATTCAGGCATAATTGGCTATGACAAGCCATAAGTGGACAGCTCAAGCATATCCCTTGATGAGGAGGAAGACATAACAAGGAGGGCCCACAGGAAAGAGGGTATTTAGGAAATATGAGCAAAGATGAAAGATTAGGTTTTCCAGAAGGACTGAGAGAGAAGGGTGTTTAAGAAACCTAAGCAAAGGACTCAGGTTGAAAGAGGTTGTAAGTCCCTTACTTTATTCCTGGGTTATAAACCTGCACTTGCTATGCCCTTCCCACCTTAGGTTCCCCTTCATTCTGCATACCAAATTAATTTTCTCAAAGCTTAAATCCTTTACTGTTAAAGGAATGATCTCAGATCCAGAGCTCTGTTCCGCAGTGATGTATCCTCATGTGGACCCACAGATCTTTATTATGTCCAATATGAGAACACAAGACAAGGCACAGCTATCCTCCAGGATCAGATTCCCTCTCTCCTCTGATGCCTGTCTTACCATTTTATTCAGTCTCACTTCCTCAACACCAGATCTGGCTGACAACCAAATCCTCATCTGGCCCCTTTCTGTATGCTTGATGAACTCGGCTGCAGACCAGCCTCCCACTAAACCCATATTAACATTCCTTGTACATGTTGGTTTCCATATCACTGTGGAATTGATTTTGAGATTCTTTACCCTGTGCTTAGATCCTTAAAAGCTTTTATTTTCATTTACATTTTAACTACAAACTCTGCCTGTGGCTTCACATCTGGCACCTATATCCAATGCAAGATGTCACCCTCTATTTAGAAGTTCCCAAGCCCAATGGCTGAATTCCTAAGGGGTAAAAACCATCACCTACTAATCTCCCCCATCAGAATTTTCTGGAGTTGAACCCAGCCAGAGGCATTTTTAAAGCTCCCCAGGTGATTCTGGTGTGGATCCCTGATTAATAACAACTGCCCCGAGCAAATGCTTGAAAAAGAATCCTTGTCCTGAAAAAAAGAGGAATAAGGACAAAAAAAAAAAAAAAAGGCTCTTCTTACCATGGGGTTATGAAGAGATGGGGGAAAAGCCGCCATTATAACCTACTAGGCAGAATGGGGCCATATTACATGGTTTCAAAAAAAGAGGGATTTAAAAGTCACATAAAATGTAACATACTAAGGCTGGTACCAGAATAATCAGATACACTAAGTAAAGTTGGTATTAATATCCAAGATCAATAACGGAATTATTGATCCAATAATTCCATTAATGGAATTGGAAGAGCCAACTAGTAATTAGACCATTTAGGCATATGATATGTTTTGGGATGACATGAGAAGAAATGGAAAAGATAGAGGGAGATTAAAGGAATTTCTAAAAAGGGGGGAAAATCAGGACCTAAGGCATCAAAAGGAGAAGATGGCAAAATGAGAAGACTCAGCAACTCCATGGTGACCGAGCTAGAAGCAGAGTAGGAAACACCCCACTGCCCCCCGACAAGGAGCATGTGAGAGTGGACTACACTTTAATCGAAAAGGTTATGCCAGCTCTCGACAACACACCCACTTCATCTTCTGTGGCAGAAACTAGGTGACTGACCTGAATAAATGCAACACAAGAGGGACAGCAGGGATTTAAATCACCAATTCACACTGAAGTAGAGGAATGGCTTTTACCTGCTTGCAGGTGTGAAGGAGAGGATGAGAACTAGAATACAGGTGTGGAAAATATGTTCTCAAGGTACTTCATGGTGAAAGAAAGAAAAGAAAATTTAACTAAAAGAAAAACGAGTGGCACAAAATAGCAGCAATTTTAAAAGAGGGCAAATCTATGAATCCATGAACACGCGAGAAAGCCTATTTCATAAGCATGGGGCAAAGTGTAAGACTGCGGATTCTAGAGAAAGGCTGCGCGAGCAAGAAATATCTTAGTGGGGACAGCAAGGCAGAAGAAAAGTATAGATGAAAACAGAATATGCCTTTGTCTAAAATCCAGAGAAAGGAAAGCAGTCGTGTAGTGATGTGTGATGTGTGCAGGTAGCAGGAACCATTTGGGCATCTTAAGGTCTTGGGCCAAATGTCCACAGCTGCTTGCAAAGATCCAAGGCTTTAAAAAACAGTTGCCTGAAACAAGAAAACATCCAAGGTTCTACTTTGTGACTTCCTGGAGGCTTGTCCCCACGGTCCCCCCGCAGGCTGTTCTCTCACCTGGAAAGCCCCATCTGCACATCTCCTCCTCCTCCATCCATGGCTCTTTCCCCTCCTCCAACCTGGAGATCACAGCAGGTTTGCTGACCACACACCCTGTTCATGAGAAATAGTTACAGAATTTGTGCTGAGCCACCTTCTAAGCAAGCAGACAGTTCAGGCCACACAACAGAACATTGATATCTCAGCCAAAGACCAGATGTTTCACTTGGGAGGTAACTTCTCAAACATTCCAAGTGAGATGGAGACATTTTGGCCACTGAAACCCAAGGGCAAACACTCTTAGAGGACCCACAATTTTACATAGCTGAGAAAGGAAAGGTACCCAGACATAATCTGAGGGCCACAGGAAATCCCTCCTCACCCACTGAGACCAGGTGGCTATAGTTCTCCAGCATCACGTCCCGGTACAGGCTCCTCTGCGCAGAGTCCAGCTGCTGCCACTCCTTCTGTGTGAAGCCCACAGCCACATCCTTGAATGTCAGTGACTCCTGGAACAGCACATTCCTGATTAATCTGGAGTGTTTGACACTGAGTGTCACGGCAAAGGCACAGCGGAGATTGATCTTACCACCTTGGGAAGTCAGATTTCCCCATGTCATATAGGAAGTTTGGCACATCCTAACTTTGTACTACACTTTGCAGGAAACAGAAAAGATCATTAGAAAAGATCTCACTACCTGGGCCGGCCCGGTGGCGCACTGGATAGTGCGCCACTTGGGAAG